TCACAAAAAGGATAAAAGCCGAAGCTTTGGCTGCAAATCAACCCTTTCTTAAGGTCGGTACGCATTATAATTCCATTTTGAAGGGGTGGCCTAAGCAATTCGACATGGCCTATACAGTGAACTGCAGGGGCAAGTCGATGTAAACGTCAGTGTTTTCATCCTCCCTGACGGATCTGGTACAGTTTGCCGTTCCCTGCACTGTAGAAGGCTTGACTGACCTGCGCGACAGCAGTCCAGATTGACGGGATCGCGCTTGTGCTAGGCTGGCCATTAGCCACTGCACCACCTCCTCCGCATTCTTCTAAATACCCGGCTAATTGGGGCATTGCTGAGGACGCTGGGGTTTTCATGAGGTACTGGGTTTGGCGCGGCGCCAGCCTGTCGGCCACCAAGTGTTTAAGCAGGCCGACGAAACGTCCCAGCGTTCGCAGCAAACAAGACTGTAGTACTGTAGCCATGGGCATTCGCGCGACTGCACAGCTAATCGGTAGATTTTTCTTGTGAAACTACGGTAACCACTCGAATCACGAAGGCAAGGAACAGCTGTAGCAAGCCAGCCATCAAGCTTTCCTCGTTGACACGCCTTTCCTTTCAGGACAGAAAGAAAAAGGGCACATCAATCAAAAAAGCAGAAGACCTGGCGGCTCCGCCCATCCGATGAACGTGGAGAGCGCCTTTTAATGTGATCTAAGAAATCTCCACTGGTGTAAGATTCTATCTGGATATCGTACATGAGTTATTGGCAGCAGCAGGTGCGGTATCCACAGTGAACGACAGTTCAATTTAGACGCTCCGAATGAGTGTAGGCGCAACATTGGCCCGATTAACAGAAGCACCATTCAAACAATTACGACCTGCACGCCAGCCGAACAAATGCTACCTAAGCTGGCGCTCACACCATTTCCTCAAGTATAATAAACCACAACAACTCTGGGATTTATCCTTCTCTAGAAAATATCTCCTCGCTTATGCTTCAATTCGTCACCTCCACGACCCACCTTGGACAACTTTGTTACCGTATCTCTAATCCAATACCGGCTTACTTAAATCAACGTAAAGAACGCTAAGGTCTCCGACGAGCAGCAACGCCTACACCGAAAACAGCAGCCTAAGGCACAGGGGACAAGAAGTGTTGTAGAGGAACATTAAATGCGCTACATACTAGTACGCTTGCAAATGACTGCCATAGGCAAAGTCTTAAGGCAAGGAACCTAGGGTTGCAAGAGAGCTTTCTAGTAACGGAATGACCCCTATCCGCCTTCCTCGCGACGGCAGTTTTTGGGGGGAAGACTAGAGAATTTCACTAATTTCCTAAAAGAAATGAGGTAGGGAAAATGTAGGAGCACGGTAGGTAGGATGGAAAAAGGGCAAGGTATGGGTCGCACCAGAGAGGACATTTTGAGGGGGAGAGGTAGTATTTCGCGAAAATTCTCCCCAGCGGAGAGCCTGCCCTAACCGCAAGAGCAAGATACACGAAGCATACCTGAGTATTATTTTCCACAATGAACTGCGGTACCGTTTCACTGAAAAGTTTCAAAAAAGCCCTCATCAGGCTATCGAGGAATTGATCAAAAGTGGGCGTGACGCTGAACGCATCGAACTTGCTCCAAGCATCCTGAAAACAAAAACCTTGAAGATCGCTTTCTGCCGTAGCGTAATGATAAGGCTTTAGCACCTGGACAGCTTTCAATTTAACGTCGTCCCTTTGACTGACGTCATTCAGGGTTCGTATCAAAGCGTCCTGATCGCTGGGTAGTATTGGTTGAGGAGCCATCTGCTGCACTGGTACGTTACCACGTATCATTTGTGAAGTCATTGTAGCTTGATTCTTTTATGGAGGAGCCAGCAAAAAGTCCTGTGAGAAAATCCCCTAGAAACAAAGGAATGAACGAATAACATACTTATCTGCTCCAGGTAAAGACAAAACAAACCAGTTAACCAGTTCCCCTTAGAGTTGGGTGTCTTGGGAGATCCACGTTACGGCGAAGCGGCGGCAACGGCGCCATACGTGGTGTGCCCCAGGACCAAACTAATTTAACGTGAACGCGCTATACTGCGTGGTTAACTAAGGATCACTAGATAGGCTGTGTGCGTCGTCGCAACGTGGACCTCCCAGCCGCCCGGCTGTTTTAATTGATAACCATTGATAAGAATTGTGGACATATCAAGCAAATAAAACTCACTTTTCACACTTCCTTTATTACAACGATGACGGCATTCTGCGACCAAATTCTACCTACAATTGAAACTATGTGAACGGAGCCAACAGTACAAAAACATTTTAGGGCAGAAAATCGAACAAACGCGCACAGGAGATTTCACGGATTTCTTTTTTTACTGTAAAGATTCCAAGAAGAATGTGTTTCAGAAGAAATGTCCGCTGGTCCAACAGAGGCCCAATTCTGTCTTTTTCTTGACAGCTATTAGAGTAGGATAAAGTTTCCAACATTGATCAGAACTCCTGAGACACACCCTACATTTCACAGAATTCTAGTAGGGTTTTGAACGTGGTTCGGCAATGTCTGTTGGGACTAGCCGATGTCTTCTATCCTCCCGAGCAGGTCCTGCACTAGTTGACTGGATAGGACGGACGGATGGTTTGATTGTCGTGAGTGGGAGCCGATCAACGACTTGATACCAGAAGTCTTGAAACATGCCAGCACCGCCTCCACCGCTACTACTTCTTGTGTTCCTGTTCAACAGAACTTCTTGTTGACTGGAACTTGAATGTTCACTGCAATAACTAGTTGTGATCAGCTTACTGCTGGCATGAGCGCATTCATTCCAAGGAGTACCCTCAAGATCTCGAATGGAATTGTCCTGCCTGAAGCAGCTTCATTTCTACTATATAATGTGAAAGTAGAAAGTGTGCCACTTCACCCTTGTGAAGTTAATCGGACACCATGAGAGAGATGTACATTTTTCCGGTATGCCAGAAAACAAGAGGTGTCCATTACCGCTTCATACAATAAAAACCTAAGGAGCTATCAAGCTTAAGAGCATTTGAAGGACTTTTTGGAAGTGGAAGGGCAGAAACAGACATGAGGGACTTCCGCCTGAATCTGAAGGGGATTCCTTTGGGTTGGAGTAGCAACTTCTAGTATGATGGTTCTCTTGAGATGACAATCCAGTTTTGCACAAAAAGACCCTCAAATGCCTTCCCGCCCTCATCTAAGGCTATCACAGCCCAAACTAATTCAACTTAACTGTCGGCCGAAAACAATGTAACAAATCTGTCTTTGAACGCAGATCGAGCCGACTGCCAATAATCTTATGGTTAGTAGGATAAATTCAATCTTGAACCTCTCATAGCAGATCGTAGTGTGATTAGTACGACGAAAGTTACCCGAACAACAATGCAGGCGGTAAGAGAAAACGGAACTGATCTAGACGAGAAAAAAATTAAAGCAAGAGAAAACAGGAAGGTAAGACAATCTGACGAGGCTATGGTCTACAATATGGCTGTCGACAGCACACTTCCTTAACAGGAAGTCAAAGTAAAATGGAAATCGGCCACTACCGGAACAAAAGTTTCAAACCAAAGAAAACGTGCAAAACAACTGAAATAATGACGGGTACGGAACTGAAGCCTCGTCATGAAAAAAAACAGAAGTTAACACTGCTCTGAGCCACCATAGAGAGAGGGATTAATGGGAACTACATGCGTGTTTCGAAACTTGTGAGAAGTTACTATCGGATACTGGAAAAAAGAACGGCAAGATGAAAAGAGTTGAGTGCTAGGCACTGTCCAAAACTAACACAGCCCTCCCCACCCCCTCCCCCGAACTACATAGATCTACCAGATTCGATATCTGCGACCGTACCTCGCTCCAGAAGCTGAGCAAAAAAAGCATGAAAACCTCAACTATTTTTCCAGGATGAAAAGACTTATTTCATGTTCGAGAGCAGAAACAGACTTGGTACAAGAACAAGTCGAAGACGCTTGCCAAAAAAGACCATCTCCAAAAGCTATTAGGTAGCCCAGCAACTTCCATGTACTTTGTAACATTTCACTTGAAGACTTTCATTCTCTTGTATTTGGTTTTCTATCACTGATCTACCCTCCACTAAAACCAGTGACATCCTACTAGCATGAAGGCAATTAACAAAAATTTTCTCTATATCCCTTATCTCTTAACTACTACT